CCTTCCATCCCTTTTATTTCTCCATGGGCTTCACCTTCCCACTGTTGAAGTTCTTCAGGGAGTTTAGAAAATTGGGTTGCCTCCCAATAAGCGCTTTATTTTAAGTCTGTAGCTAGACATTGCAGAAGCCCGGTGGTCAAATCTCTGGTTCCTTCAGAGTTAAAGACTCGTTTGCAGTGTCAAAAGGTGTCTCCACATAGGGTTTCAGCCTGTGACCATTCACCTTGAATGTGTTGCCTTTAGCCTCATTAGTTATTTCAACTGCCCCATGAGAAAAAACTTGAGTCACCAGGTAGGGTCCAGTCTAGCGAGATTTTAGTTTCCCTGGAAATAACTTGAGCCTTGAACTGAATAACAGAACCTTTTGCCCTGCGTTGCTGGTAGTGGTTGTTGTGGCTAGTTTTCTTCAGTGAGGACCCGGCTGTTAGACCACGGCTTTTGTTGTGGTTTGGTAGCTAGGCAGTTTTGTGAGCTTCATCGTGGGCGTTGGTGGCGGTCACCTGCTGTTGCCGCGGTGGTCGTCGGTTGTGGCAGCCATTTTTTTTTCATGTTAGGTGGCACTGCGTGTTCGCTGCTGCTCGGGCCTTCCGCTTTGGCTTGCCTTGACATGCTATCTAACTTACAATTTCCTTCCCTTTTTGCAGTTGTTCATTGATCATGTCTTCTAAGGATGGTAGCCAATCACCAAGCTCATAAGTGCCTTTATATAAGTGGGGAGGCTCCAAAGTGCACAAGAAGAGATTTGTGCTAATCTGCATCGCGTTACGTCTAAAGCTTAGTTCCAGAAGTGGTGGGCCATTTATGCTTCTGACATTCTTGATGACATGCATGTCAAGCTGGTGAAGTCTTTAGTCGACGATGCGCCTTGTGTGGATGTGAATGATCCAGATGCTAGGATCATCACCTTTCATCCCTTTTATTTCTCCATGGGCTTCACCTTCCCACTGTTGAAGTTCTTCAGGGAGGTGTTTTGCGCCATGGTGTGTGCTCCAAGTCAGTGTCCTCTGAACGTGTATCGGGTGATCATGTGCTTTGAGAATCTGAGTCGTTCTTCAAGCTGGAGCTAACGATGCGAGAGTTCTTCTACTTCTTTGAAGTGAGGCACTACTAGAAATATGCTCAAGGTGGTGATGGTCCACTTGTTCCCATCATTTACTGCGATGGTATGTCACATTGTTGTTTCATCTGCTTCATTTTTATTTGATTTTCCTGAAGTGTGACTCACTAACTTCTGTCTTCTACTTACAGAGAATGATATCTACAAGATACTGGATCTTGGGCCGGACATGGTTAAAAACAACTAGATAAAGAAAAATAGTAACAAAGTGTATGTATTTATTTTTCGAAAATAAAAGAAGTAAATGATGGGTGCTGAAGTTAGGAGTGATTTCAACTTGTTGAACGCTTCTAAACAGGCCGCATTGAAATGAAATGGTGTGTCCTTAGCCAATAAATTGCACAAAGGTCGGCTAAGTTTGGAGAAATCCTTGATGAACCGACGATAAAAACCGGCATGTCCTAAGAAAGACCTCACACCTTTTACGGATGTAGGGGGCGGCAGCTTTGCAATAACATCAATCTTTGCCTTGTCAACTTCAATTCCTTTATTTGAAACTAGATGTCCCAAAACAATGCCTTGATTAACCATGAAATGACACTTCTCCCAATTTAATACTAAGTTTGATTCTTGGCATCGTTCAAGAACTTGAGATAAATTGTGTAGACAAAGATCAAAACTATCCCCAAAAACTGAGAAATCATCCATGAATACCTCAACAATCTTTTCAACCAAACCTGAAAATATGTTCATCATGCACCGTTGAAATGTGGTGGGTGCATTACATAACCCAAATGGCATCCTCCGATAAGCATAAGTACCAAATGGACAAGTGAAAGTGGTTTTCTCTTGATCCTCTGGTGTAATTGGAATCTGATTATACCCAGAATACCCATCAAGAAAACAATAAAACGCACGCCCAGCCAACCTTTCCAACATCTGGTCAATGAAAGGCAATGGAAAATGGTCTTTTCTTGTCCCTGCGTTAAGCTTCCGGTAGTCTACACACATTCTCCAACCTGTAGTCAAGCGTGTAGGAACTAACTCGTTATTATCATTTTTCACCACTGTAATACCGGTCCGCTTAGGCACAACTTGTGTAGGGCTAACCCATTTACTGTCAGAAATTGGATAAATCATGCCTGCATCAAGTAGTTTCATAACCTCTGTTCTGACCACCTTCAAATAGTTCAACAATCAAGATACTTTGCTGGGGCATCTCATTCCTTCTGGACTGGTTGCCGACCCTTTGACACCTATCACAAGCCTTGCACCAATTTTGTGAATCTTTAAAAAGTGTTGGCCAAAACAACCCACTTTGTAGGATTTTCTCTGCTGTCCGTTTCTGCCCAAAATGTCCCCCACATGCATAATGATGAGCAAACTTTAAGACACTGCCCTGTTCAGCCTATGGAATACACCTGCGAATAATCTGATCTGGACAATACTTGTATAAGTAGGGTTCATCCCAAAAGTAGTGCTTTACATCAGATAAAAACTTCTTTTTCTGCTGGTAAGAAAAATCCGGATGCACCACACCCTTAGCCAAATAATTGACAATATCTGCAAACCAAGGTGTGTCAATTTGGATAGCAAATAGCTGTTCATCTTGGAAACTTTCACTCAATGGTAGAGAATCTGCCTCCATAGGTGCTGGAATAATTAATCTAGATAAATGGTCAGCCACAACATTCTCGCTACCCTTCTTGTCTTTAATCTCTAGGTCAAATTCTTGAAGTAAAAGAACCCAACGAATCAACCTAGGCTTTGCATCCTTCTTAGAAAGCAAGTATTTTAAAGCAGCATGATTAGTATAAACAATCACCTTAGCTCCCACCAAATAGGACCGAAACTTCTCTAATGCGAACACAATTGCCAACAATTCCTTCTCTGTAGTTGCGTAGTTAAGTTGTGCATCATTGAGAGTACGACTTGCATAGTAAATGACATGGGGAAGCTTATCTTTACGCTGCCCTAAAACTGCCCCTACAGCATAATCTGATGCATCACACATTAATTCGAATGGTAAATCCCAATCTGGTGCAGCAATGATGGGTGCTGAAGTTAGGAGTGATTTCAACTTGTTGAACGCTTCTAAACAGGCCGCATTGAAATGAAATGGTGTGTCCTTAGCCAATAAATTGCACAAAGGTCGGCTAAGTTTGGAGAAATCCTTGATGAACCGACGATAAAAACCGGCATGTCCTAAGAAAGACCTCACACCTTTTACGGATGTAGGGGGCGGCAGCTTTGCAATAACATCAATCTTTGCCTTGTCAACTTCAATTCCTTTATTTGAAACTAGATGTCCCAAAACAATGCCTTGATTAACCATGAAATGACACTTCTCCCAATTTAATACTAAGTTTGATTCTTGGCATCGTTCAAGAACTTGAGATAAATTGTGTAGACAAAGATCAAAACTATCCCCAAAAACTGAGAAATCATCCATGAATACCTCAACAATCTTTTCAACCAAACCTGAAAATATGTTCATCATGCACCGTTGAAATGTGGTGGGTGCATTACATAACCCAAATGGCATCCTCCGATAAGCATAAGTACCAAATGGACAAGTGAAAGTGGTTTTCTCTTGATCCTCTGGTGTAATTGGAATCTGATTATACCCAGAATACCCATCAAGAAAACAATAAAACGCACGCCCAGCCAACCTTTCCAACATCTGGTCAATGAAAGGCAATGGAAAATGGTCTTTTCTTGTCCCTGCGTTAAGCTTCCGGTAGTCTACACACATTCTCCAACCTGTAGTCAAGCGTGTAGGAACTAACTCGTTATTATCATTTTTCACCACTGTAATACCGGTCCGCTTAGGCACAACTTGTGTAGGGCTAACCCATTTACTGTCAGAAATTGGATAAATCATGCCTGCATCAAGTAGTTTCATAACCTCTGTTCTGACCACCTCTTTCATAATTGGGTTAAGGCGACGTTGAGCATCAACTGTTGGCTTCACGTCGTCTTACATTAAAATTCTGTGCATACATACTGCTGGGCTAATACCCTTGATATCTGCAATTGTCCATCCCAATGCATCTTGATACTTTCTCAACACACGAAGCAATTTATCTTCCTCAGTGGGAGTTAAATCTGCTGCAATAATAACTGGCAGTGTCTCTGCAGCTCCTAAATGTGCATATTTTAGATGTTCAGGTAAAGGCTTCAGCTCCAATTTTGGTGGCTGCTGTCTGGAGGGTTTAAGGGGCTGTTTAGGCTCCCCTAAGCTCTCATAAACATTTCGGAACCTTGGCGGCAGTTTGGGTAAACTGTCCAATGCGTGAATGTACTCAAAAACTTCTTCATCTTCATAATCTGTCCCAAGTTCCCCTTGTAAAACACGCAGCAACTGATCTGTATATGAATTAGCATAAAAACTGTCTTGAATCATATTGTCTACCACATCAATCCGCAAACACTCTTGCTGTTCATTAGGACGTTTTTCAGCCTCAAACAAATTAAACACCACAGATTGGTCTTGAACTCGTAAGGTCAATGTCCCAGCTTCCACATCAATTAGAGTCCTAGCTGTTGCCATAAATGGTCTCCCCAAAATAATAGGTGTTTGAAGGTCTTCGTCCATGTCTAACACCACAAAGTCTGCTGGTAGGTAAACATTATCAACCTTAATAATTAGATCTTCAATAACACCTCTAGGATAACTGATTGAACGGTCAACTAGTTGAAGTATCATTGATGTAGGCTTTAAATCTCCTTGTCCCAATCGTTGAAAAACAGAAAAAGGCATCAAATTAACACTTGCACCCAAATCAATTAAAGCACTTTTAAAATTAGAATTTCCAATAGTACACGAAATATTAAAACTCCCTGGATCTTTTTTCTTGGGTGGCAATTTGTGTAGCAAAACTGCGCTGCACTGTTCTGTCAAAACGACTTTTTCCAAATCTGCAAGCTTCTTTTTGCTACTTCAAACTTCTTTTAAAAATTTGGCATAAGATGGAATTTTCTTGATAGCTTCCAGCAATGGAATGTTGATTTGAACGTTGGATAATGTCTGCATAAAGTCCTTGAGCTGTTGATCTCTTGCCTTAGGAATTAGACGTTCAGGATAGGGCAGTGGAGGGTCATAGACACGCTGTAAAACCTGTTTTGGGATAGTTTCGGGATCTGCCAGATTATGTTTTTCTGCAATTTTGGCAGGTTCTGTTGCTGCAAAATTTTCTGCATGATCCTCCACTGCTATATGTTCCTTTTCAATGCTATTTTCACGATTGTCATAGCTCTTTCCACATCGTAAAGTCCGAACAGCATTGCAATCTTCACGTCCTCTTGGATTAGGCACTATTTGACTAGGAAATTTGCCCTTTTCTCTCTCTGAAATCTGTGCAGCTAGCTGTCCAAACTGTTGCTCTAAACTTTTAATTGATGCTTCAACATTTTGGAATCTTTGGTTGCTGCCCTTTATGAATGATTGAGTTGTTGCTGCTAATTTAGCAAGCTGATCATCCACAGTCGGTTTTGATGATACAAAAGGTTTTTGTGCTTGCTGGAACAGTTTTGCATTATTTTGATTGTCACTCCATTTGAAATTAGGGTGATCCCTCCATCCTAGATTGTACTGAGTTGCATATGCATCATTCCTAGGCCTTTGATAGTTGTTCATCATATTAACATGTTGCTCAACAAGTTCTGGGTAGGATTCTCTATGCGGGCATCCAAATATATCGTGTGTTGTCATGCTACAAATGCTGCAAACTGTTGCTGCAGGTGGCTGTTGCTGTGTGGAATTTGCTATCTGTTGCAAAATAGTGTCAAATTTTGCATCCATTTTCTTCTCCATTTGTGCCATTTGTGCAGACATGTTAGGCGAACCTGCTGATAACTCAAAGATTCCCCTCTTCTGTGAATGTTCTACTGCCCATTGCTGAGATTCTGTGGCCATCATCTCAAATAATTCAAAAGCCTCTCTTGCTAGTTTGTTTGAAAATGAACCCCCAGCCAATGCGTTCACATGACTTTTTGATGGAGGATTGAGCCCATCAAAGAAAATATTCATCTGTGTATCAGCATCAATATTAGCATGTGGACACTTAACGTACATCTCTGT